CCTGTGGAACTCCTTGCCAGAGGATGTTGTGAAGAACGGGAAGAACAGGGTTCAAAAAAGAGCTAGATAAATTGATGGAGGTTAGGTCCATCAATGGCTATTGGTCAGGCTGGGTAGGGACGGTGTCCCTGCCCTCGGTTTGTCAGAGGCTGGAAATGGATGACAGATGGATCACGTGAGGATTGCGTTCTGTTCACTCCCTCTGGGGCATCTGGCATTGGCCGCTGTGGGCTGGATGGACCTTTGGTCTGACCCAGTGTGGCCGTTCTGATGTTCAGTAGCTATCCCCAACTCCTGGGGTCCACCTGAGGCACCGGTGCTGAGATACCACAACGATGAGGTAAAGATGGATGGTGAAGACCGACAACAGCTCAGTCACATTAGCTCTGAAGGCCAGACCACCCTACGGTCGGCTCCCTCACACCTCATACGCAGAGCACTGTACTGCGTCAGGCTCCTGCACCCACCACTGGCCCTCTCCCCATCTCGGAGACCCCCGGTTACATCCAGTGGTGAGCAGCACCCCTGGCGTGGCAGGATCGGATGGTGCTTTCTACATGAGCTGCAGGGCTCAGCATGGTCCCCACATGGATCCAGTCAGCTGAGGGGCCAGGAAAACCACGTGGGAGCCCAGAGCTCGTCAAGGGGGCAAGGGCCCCGTCCCAGCAGTGCTGAGGATCACGGACTGGACGGGACCTCACTGGGTCTCCTTGTCCAGGGTCCTGCACGGATCCAGCTTACAGGCCAGACTTCAGCATGCAGCCAGGGCATGCCCTGCATCACAGCACGGGGCCTGTTGGTGATGGAGGGCACAGCGCCTTGCAGGGCTTGCTCAGCACCTCACTGGATTGGGCTCTGCAGCTCCAAGGCAGGGCGGACTGTGGCTAGCTCCATGTGCCCGCAAAGGGGAAATGGGAGAGCACCCAGGAGCCTGCTGGGAGGGGGTGGCGGGTACTCAGCATGGCGCAAGCGAGCGGGACTGCAGGTCCCTGCCGCCTCCTGCCTAGGGGCAGCGGGGGCCGCACACGAAGGCTGGTTTGGTAGGGTTTATTGTGTAGCAGTTAAACATGACCAGCATGGACATTTAAAAAAACACCACCACCCACAACCCAACAAACACACACGCACACACGAGAGAGACAGACACTACGGGGACAGGGCATGGCGTCTCCATGCCTACGGGACATGGCCTCTCACACCACAGGCCTGGCGCGGGGCCGAGGTGATTTAGGGTTGACTTCCAAGCCAGTCCCCTTCCCTTGGGCTGACGGAGGCATGGATGGGAGATGAGGGGGTCAGAGGCAGCTGGCCTGGGGAAACGGGAGGTCACCACCTCGTATTGGTGCCCCTCAAGCTCACATTTAATGGGGTCTGAGGCCCAGACGCTGGCAGCGAGGTACCTAAATTCCTCTGCCTCAGGGCCCGACTGCCCAGAGCTACCCGCTGGCCTGCCTTGCCCGCGCTGGGTGAGCTGGCTGGGCCACTGAGGCACAGGGGCCCGAGTCTCCTGGCATGGGGCGCACCCTGGCACGGTGAAAGGACCCCCGAGGCACACGTGCAGGGGGTGGGGGCCGTTCCAGCAGAGCCAAGCCGCCCGGGGGAAGGCGCAGAGCGAAGGGGGCGCGGGGCCAGCCCTGACGCTCTCTCCAGCACACACCTGGGTGCTCACACACAGAACAACGTTCCAGGCGTGGAGGCCAGCGGTTCCGCGAGGGCTGGCCCCGCGCCGGCGTGCAGCTGGCCGCAAGGCGGGGGGGGCGTTGGC